AATGCCGTTGTATTATCGGAAAAAATCTTTCTCGGCAATAATCAAATCACAACCAAATAGCATCATGGTCTCCTCAGCCAATACAAATACCAAATAAATTATCATCACTAAATCTTTGCATGCCGTGATTAATTTCTACATGCCATACTTTTTGGCCGAGATTCCACTTTGGTGGGATTTGTCCTGTTGCAAACGTTGCCTCGCCGAATTATACTATAGTCAAGCTCGACCAATTCATATGGTCGAAAGACAAAACTTGCAAACAAGGCCGAGAAAAAGCTGGGCAGCCGAGAGAACTGGGTCGTGAAAAACTGGACAACCAAAAGAACTAGGCCAAGCAAACTGATTCTTGGTAGCACCTAAACTGCTACCGAGTCGGTACGTGCAAATATAGCAAGAATAAGTTCACGCATATATTTTACTAAATTGGGACTACCAAATGGGCTCACCACTTCATTTGGTCAAATCGACTAAAGAAAACAGGACGGAGAAAAACTTGATACTCGGCAGCTCGGTTTACCACCAATTCTCGGCCATCGCTTCAATGAATATTGCTTTTTGCTTCATGCCTATTTTTCTGCAGCAGACAGTAAACAACAAATGCCCCCTCGCATGCTGACTTGCAATACAAATATATGTTGCGTATATCTCTCGGCGAGTGCAAAAATGTTTAGCCGTTCGTACCACACATCGCCCGCTGTGAACATGATCCTCCTGTTACCCCTCTTCTTGATTTTGTTACATAAAGAACTTCCACCTCCTCGTATGATTCCATGTGCTATGAAAATTTGATTTTCTTTTTTAAGCAAGGCAAAGTAGCTGAGGCGTTGATGTCTAGGAAGAAAGATAAATCCCACCAATTGCATGTTGAAGTCCGAGGCCATTATGCACACTTCATACATCGTCGTCGATAATGAAGAAGTCTATCATTAAAGCTATGGTCGAAGAAATATATGGTTGAGGACAGTTATGGTCGAAGAAATATATGGCAAAAAGTTAAAGAAAGTACAACACCACACCAAAGAAGTTTATCACCAAAACTCCACATATGCCAATATATATTTTTTCAACGCTAGTGAAAGCCCATCATGGCACCATGCATGTATAATATTATCCACTCAATAAGTGTAGCCATATGTAGAGACCTAATAATCATATTTCCAAACGTGTAGGACTCGGCCGAGTGTAATTTTGAAGACTAGAGTGGCAGAATCACTACGGCCGAATACCAACCAACAAACCTCACCGCCTAACACAAATATTTATTCGGTGAAAAGCATCCTGATGTATTTAGTCATGATAAAAACCCAATTGAATGTAAATCATCACGACACAATGCTGCACCCCTTTATTTTCTTACGTATCAGTTGAAAAACCGAATGGTTAAGAAAATAATTTATTCATTATATATATATTTTAGCAAACGAAAATAAAAGTAGCCAAACCATGATCAGGAGGAGGCCAACAATGCTTTACTCCTAGTCGAGATCTTTTTATATCAATATTCTCAATTTGATTTAACTTTAGGCCGAATAAAGAATCATTTCCAAATACTTTTGACTTGGTGAAATATTTTTTATTCTCAGCCGCTGAATGCGTTGAACAATTATTAAGCCCCCATGCATAATAATTTCGTCAATTTCGGCTTTTAACTTGAACACTTTAGCTGAATGAGATTTCTCTATATTGGCTTTATCGCCAATAATCATATCGATTGACATGGTTTGTCCGGCTAGGCCTATGTCTCGGCCTTGTTCGTCATTGGAGTACTCTGACAAATCATTTTGTAAGTCGATTTTTGGCTCAGAAACTTTAACTTTTTCTTTTAGGCCAACTGAACTTTCAGTCTCGACCGAAAAAATAGGTGGCCTAGGTTTTTCTTCGGCTGTCTTGACAATTTTTCTAGGCCGAATTTTGATTGTGGCTGGAGCGGAAAATTGCTCCCATCTTCTAGACAACTTCTCAAGGAGTTTTGCTTTCTTCTTGTAGCAATTCTTTACTTGGCGCCAAATCTCGTCCACTGGAACCTGATTGAGATCTTGATCTACCATGTGAATTTTGTAGTTTTAGCACTGGGTCTCACTGGGCGTGCCAAAATGTTGACCCTAAAAACGACCAAGCCTACGTGGCACGCATGCCAAGTAATTAATAAGCTAACTACTTCATTTGGTTGTGTGCGGGGCGTGCCAACTCGTCGGCCAAGCTCGGCCAGGGAGTAAAATGTGTTGATGTTGCATCGGGTGCATTGCTGACTTCTTGATCTTGCGACTGCAGCTGAGGAAGGAACACATATCGGCCTTCGGGTTCTAGAGCTTGAGTACAAGGCTATTAGTCTTGCAAAGTTCACGGATCGTCGATGTCGGGTTCGATCACAGTGATTATATTCGTGAGAGTATAAGCATGCCGAATTGGCAACAAGCTATACGGACACAAGTACTCAAAAGAGATGAATGTCTTGATGGTGAATGTGATTCGGATGTCAGAATGCCGAACTCTAAAACTTACTTGTGAATATCCAATCATAAACAACTCGACGTTTAATGTGCCGAGTCTAGTAAATTGTAACACCTCAGTTCGCCAAGAAGGCTAATGGGATGACCTCTACCAACAAAGACTTGAAAATCCTTGTCGGCCGAGACTTGGATAGGTAATTAGTCAACCTTGACGCAGTGCTGTTTATCCAAACTGGAGGTGTTTCGTGGTTAGCTAATTCTGCGGCAACAATGTTGTTTATCCAAATTGAAGATGTTCACCGGTTGCCTTCACAGTGCTGTTTATCCAAACTAAAGATGTGTTGGCGAAAAAGGAAAATAAAAATCTCAAGGTTGTTGAGAGATTTCGCGTAGAACGATAGTTTGCGCAGGGCAGTTTGTGTGTTGAATTGGAAGGGGCCCTCTTTTCGTTAATTGCAGCTTTGTATTTATAGCGAGTCTCCTTAATCGTCAATCCAATAAAGATTTTTTTCTGAATATCCCAAAAACAATATCAAAATAACTGATATTATCTTTAATATATTTTGACAAAAATCTCCCTAGTCTCCTTATGCATGTAGACTTTTACAAGAGTAACAACATGTGTCCTTTTGAAATCTCAAAATACCCTTTCACACGGTATGCACATTGTATTCCCACCATCAATTCTTATCACTTTGCACTCAATCGAATAACACCTATCACCATGCAAAAAAGGCTAGCCTACCTAGGTTTCTTATCTCATCATTATCCAAGACCATGATTTTACTTTTGGAGATCATCAAATCCCATATGCTGATCTCCACTCCAAACTATTTCAATCTACACGTCCCTTGCCAGTCATCCCAAATTAATTTGAACTGTACTGCTTACTTCATTATGTGATGCCGTGGATATCCCATATTTAGAGTAATATTAGGTTCAAATAATTTAATATGCGAATTGTAATTGGCACTCCAAAAATCTCATTCTACACTCCAAACTTTTTATATTTGGAAAAAAAAAAACACTTGTGAGGAGTGTAGAATGAAATTTTTGGAGTGCCAATAACACTTTCCTTTAATATATTACTAAGAGATAATATCATGATTAAAATCAGAATATTATTTCTCAATAATAATTAAAATTTATTTCAACCACTTTATCGTTCAACGGTCTAAAATCATGCTCATTCAACGGCCTTGATCACTCGGGGCGATAGTGTAAAATCGGGTCCAAACACATATATACTATGAGCTATTGGAACATAGTGAAAATATGGGAAACAAATAGATAATGTGTGTTCCTTTAAATATTCAACAAGTCTCTAACAATTTATTGAAAGAATAAAATGCAAAATGAAAATTATCTATTTTTTGTTTAAGTGAGTTGCAACCTAGACGGGTGTCTAGGTGGGTCTGGTTGGGTTAGGCGGGTGCCTAAATGGTCTAGGCGGGCACCTCAGTAAGTCTAGGTGCCCTTTCTTAACTTTCAAACGCCTAGACATTAATCGGGGTGGTGGTCAATTGCCTAGCGCCTAAGCTAGCCTAGGTGGGGCCTTGATGGCGCTAGGCAAAGACTTTTAAAACAGTGATCAAATTAAAATCAATTTGTCAGGAAAAGAAAAGGCTTCAATTGGCAATGGTAAAGAGATGCTCAATATTATTTAAAGTATTATACTACCGTTCTTTCTATTAAGGAGGAAGTTTATTTTTGTTTTATTTTGATTTTTTTTTCCAATGTGACATCATTTAAGGGTATAAATACCGTATTTCAAACTCTTTGTTCTCTTTTCAACAACTAAAGATTATCTCTGAAAACAAATAATTTGATTTAGAGATCATTTAACCACCCATTTATAATATATCCAACTAATCAACTATTATGTTAATAAGTAGATTTATATGGAAGAACGAATGGTCTTCAAAATCAAATGAATTTTTCTAAAAATAATCATTAGATGGTAATATAGAAAATAGACTGTTCAAATTATAATATTTGAAATGTGAATCACACATTAATGAAAAATTAAAAAAAAAAACACCAAAATTTAGAACCCATATTGAATTATAACCACTCTTTTAAATTTGTTATAATTGTAATCAAAACTTGATTTTACTAAATATTAATGACAAAAACTATAAAATAATTAGAAATTTTTTTTTGTCGGATCAATATATATATATATATATATATTTTTTTTTTTTATAAAAAAAGGAACAACTAGTAGCAAACCATAATTATCCAACCTTTTCGAGCCCAAGAAAGGTTATAAGGAATTTCACCTTACTCATGGCCAAATAGACTCAACAGCTCATAACATTGAACTCGAAACTATCCACATTTTCTTTTGTCTGATTGACAACTAATGACAAATCATAATTATCTATCCCTTTCGAGCTCAAGAAAAGTGACGAAGAATTTCACCTTACTCATGATCAAACAAACTCAACCTCAAAATATAGAACTCGAAGCCGTCCACATTTTCTTTCGTCTCATCGATAACTAGCCAAATTTTTTACCATAAAATGAATTTTAGCCTACCTTTTACGGTTCCTGTAAATTTGGTTATTTTATTCTTCTATTAGGCAAAAGCAGCGTGTGAGCGTGCTCGAGAGAGAGAGCGAGAGGGAGAGAGAGAAACGCCTTCACACAGAGACGCATCCACCGATCCATAGATCTGTGTGTGTTTCCATTGATCTGTGTCTGTGTTGTCGTATGCAATAGAATACCTCAATGCCTTCACAGAAGCGTTCGTCACCAGAGCAGCACAGCGACGATGAAGACCATCGCCACCACCAACGACCCAAGCAATCTCGACCGCAAGATGAACACCAACTGCTGCAACAAGAAGAAGAAGAGGAAGAAGAAGAAGTAGCAGTAGAAGAAAAAGATGAAGACGACGAACACGGTGCCGGTTACACATCATCTCTCTCTCCCAATCTCTATTTCATCTGGGTCCTGTTCCGGTTCTCGATCGATTAACTTAACAAGTTTTTTGCTTTATTTTCCCACTTCAGATTCTGATGGCAGCGCATCTTCTACTTCTCAAGAAACTCCTGAGTACTCTCTCCCTCTCTCTTTACTTTATTCAATGTCGTACTTAAATATCTTATTTGTGTAGTAGCTAGCTAGCTAGCTAGTTGTAGATTCATGCTGATTCTGCCACCATTTTCGAGCAGTTTATGAAAGCTCAGTGTGCTGAATGTTGATGGGCTTTCGACGTCTCTTGGTATAATAAAAATTGAAAATTGGTTTTGATAAATATTGGTTCGTCGTTGGTTGTCAAATGGGGTATTACCTACCAAGTTGTGGTTCTGCTTGATATAATGCTTGAGTGATTGTTCTATGTTGGGATCTTGTGCTTGTATTCACCGATATATTAAAATTCGACAAGGCAGGGACTAGTTTTCTGATTTTCTATTTTCTGGTAATGTTCTGTTACAAACTGTATTGTGTATCATCCAACTAGTGATATATATATATATGTCTGTATGTATGTATGTATGTATGTATGTATGTATTAATGTATATATATAATTTGAATATTGCACCTTTTTGTATTTCTGAGAAATGAGTCTATGTACTTCTTGTGCCTTTGCAGATTTATATTCATACAACTGCCAGAACTCCGTAAAGATGTACACTGTCCAATATGTCTTGGTAAATTTTGCTTCTCAACCTTTTGAGTTTAAATGAGATGTCATGCTTTAATCTTATAATTGCTATGTGTTCACTCACTGGACTCAACTGATGAAGATTCCCCCTTGTGGCATATGGATTTTTTTCTCTCTTTCTTTTCTGCTCAGAAAACATGAGTGTTGCTTGCTTTAAGGTTGTAAATAACAATTAATTATTGCACTATGATGTAATGTACCTGCATACATAGCTTAATTGCTAATTCACTTTTCTTTTTGATGGTGGTTAACTGCTAAGCTATACACTTGGGTTCTTGTTGTTGCATTGCATGCCTGCATTGTTGTCATGGATTCTCAGTGAGGTAGTGAATGAATTGTCTTTTGCCGATTCTTTTAGTGTTCGTTGTAGTTCCACCACTGTCTTCAAACTATAAAATACAATGTGGTATCTTCTGAGGCAAACCGTGTAGGGCCAGCCAGTTGAATAATTTGGTTGGCTCCATACATCCTTCATCTTGTCAACAAAACTGACTATCAGTTTGTGATTAGTCTATAACAAGAGGAAGGCTAAGAAGGGTGTGACTTAGTTGAAGAAGTGAGAAAACCTCGGTGATATATTGTTTAGCAAATGGCATGCCGTTGACGGATAGCCTGATAGGTTTATAGAAGATTCATTCTGAATACTGAGAAACAGAATTACAAGATATTCAGCAAACAGTAGTAGGTGGGAAATTACAAGGATATAAATATTTGGAATGAATCTTCTCTAAACCATAAATAGAGAACCAGAATTACAATGATATAAATATTCAGAATGAATCTTCTCTATCGAGCTGCCTCCATGAGAGGATTTGGAAGTATAACAATGATTTTTATGTAAATGTGAGATTTTGATGCTTGATAGGTTGTGAAACACCAGAATCAGGTTCTTCTTTGGTGATGGTTAATCCATAATAGTTGCCCACCCTGCTTCCACAAGAAAACAGACCATAGCATGCCTTCTACCCACCACCACTCCTAACCACCTTTGTCCCCCAACGAGGGTTCCCAGTCATGGCCAGCTTCTAGGGATGCTTTACCTTCTTATTTTTCTCAATTTCGGTCTTAAAGCCATGTTTTTATGTATTTCCTGTCCACACACATGTGCTAAAGGGTTTTTTTAACTTCTTTTTTCTTGCATGATGCTGAATTCTTGGCAGGCCCTTTGTTCTGGTCCTTCTAGTTGCTGATTGGAATTTCTGCCTCATTTTTTGGGGCTATATGGGACTGTTTTGAAATGATTTTTGATGCTCTGGGGTCATTTTTAAAGTTTTTGCTGCTGTTCTGCAGTTGCTTTCCTAATTTTTTTCACCTAGGTTCTTCGGTGCTGTTTCCTGTGTTCTTCGGTGCTGTTTCCTGTATTCTTCTGTTCCAGATTTTTTCCATCTATCCAAGATGCTTTTCTTGTAGTTTTATTTTGTTAAACTTTGTTTGAGTTTACTTGTAGGGACTCTATTTCATTCATTGGGTACTAGCTAAGATTGTGTTCTATAGTGAAAGAGAATGAAAAGTCTCTGTTAGGTAGTCAGGTTGATTCCAAGGTGACCCAAGTTTATGTCATTATGCACCTGCTTAACATACTAGTACCATTTCTGAATGGTTTGAAGTTAGCATCATGTGTACAATTTGTTCCCCTCTATCTTGGCGGGAGGGGAATTTCTGATTGGTTATTGGATACTACTACCAAGAAGTCGAGGGAGACAGACATCTTTTACTCTGTGCAGTATGCATAACTGTATCATATTGTTCTGGTGTTTCAATTAGACAAAAATAATGGTTCTGCAATATTTCATGTTTCATAATACTGTTGATGGCTCGCGAATAGCTGCTAGGCAGGTGTATGTAAATTTTTGGATGCAGAGACTTGTGGGTCTATACAGATAGTGCAGAGACTTCTTAAGGAAGACTCAGTGCTAGACTACTACACGGGTGTCTAAAGACTTAATGAAAATTTGAAATTTTAAAAACTATACAGAGACTATCTTCTTCTTTAGGACATGGAGTATTTATTGAACTTAGAGCATCGAACAATTAGGTGAACTTTTTGGGATTTGAAATTTTGACAGGAGTAAGCATTGTTTGAATCTATCAATTATTTAAGAGAGGCTATTAGTTGAATTTTACATACACATTGAAGACCTGTATAGATTTTCCAAGATCTAAGTTTGTCAGCATTAGATACCACCTTTCCCCAGAAGTTCTCATTAAACATCACCAGCCATTTGGATGTGTATTTCTAATGTTCTGGTAAACTACTAGTTATCGCATTTTTGTTAAAGAAGAAGACTCTGATTCTCCTTCTTGTTTCATCTCTTGTTGCTTGCTTACATTTCCTCTTCTGCTATTCGTAATGGGTATATCAATCTAGTAAGCAATCATTTTTCGATTTCTTCTCCTGGACAGGAATTATTAAGAAAACACGAACTGTAATGGGATGCCTACACAGGTTTTGCAGGGAATGTATCGACAAGTCAATGCGAATGGGGTATATACTGTTGAGCGCTTTCCCTCTTAACTTTTTGTTATTCTCTGATTAAAAGAACAAAAAAATATATTAGAATACGAGTTGAGAACCAATGAAGTTTATTTATTTAGCTGGATATATAATTTCAGGAACAATGAGTGTCCTGCTTGTCGCACACACTGTGCAAGTCGGCGTTCATTGAGAGATGATCCAAAGTATGATGCCCTAATAGCAGCTTTATATCCTGATATTGAGAAGTATGAGGAGGAGGTATAAGTTTAGCTGTTGTACTTTTATGTTTTGTAGAACATTGACGACTGAAGTAGAGAGGATACTTCAAATTAGTGTCATTACAATGAACTTTTAAGTTCATAAACTTGAATGGATGAATATCAAATTATTAACAGATTATATTGTTTTTCATTTGATACATTTTTGAACTATAAGATATTTAAATAACAAATATGCCAGTTATAGCAAGTTGATTTGTCACGGACATAATTTTTGCTTAATTAAGTTTTAGTCAACCGCACAATACACACACACACACAATAAATGAATGAGAAGGAATTTAATTTGTTCTCAATTTCTCAGAATGCTGTAGTTTTAGTTAGGTATTTTTGTTTTGTGAATGTTACACATGTTTTGACTTCATATAGATGAGTGTAGTCTACTAAATTTGCAACATGGTTCAGGAATTGGCTTTCCATCAGGAGGAGAGGACTCGAAACGAGCAGGTTAGTTTTTTATTTTTTTTGGGTAAAAGTTTTCTTCCTAAGATTTGGATGGTGGTGTTTTCTTTGCTGACAATTTTAATTATGAAGTATCGCATAGCATCTTTCTTGGGACATGCCACTACCCAAGAAATATGTTCTCCAGATAGGGTAATTATTTCACATTACAATATGTGGTTTTATCAGTAAGAAATTATCTTCGAACCATTAAGCTTAACCCTCGCCCAAAGAAAGCAGGCCTTTGCTTGGTGGAACATGTCAATGAGCCTACTCTTTGACCCCCAAGGACCAACGCAATGGAGCAAGACCAATGACCTTACGTGCTTTTTAATGTTTTTTTTTTTTTTTTTTTGGCTCTCTAAATAGGTTCATACTTCATACTGAGTTTTGTTCCTGGTTCCATATTAATGCTCCAATACAGATCCAAGCATCAATTGCCAAAGTTGTTGAACAACAATCAGAAGCTCTAATCAAGAGACGCACATCTGGAAAAGATACACCAGATTCGTTTCCTGTGAGACCGCTGCGCAATAGTCGGAGTTCTGTTTTAAGGAGACGGAATTCTCGAGCCACTGATATTCAAGGATATAAAGACAATGAGGATGATAATGACAATGACAATAATAACATGGGCAAAAATTTATCTTCCACTGATGACCGGCATGAAGTTAGGCCAAGACGGCGAAGAAGACGGGCAGGATTTCGATCCTCTCAGCCTACTTCATCTCTGGCCAATTCAAGTGGAGGATGCACTGAAAATGATATAGAAGGGAAACGAGAGAACCACGGAATTTCACCTGGTGTTGTCTGGAGCTCTGAAATGCTTGTTTGGGGGCGGGGTGGTGCCCGGAGTCACACACGGCATGGCATTGGTAGTGGTTGCAACAGTAAGAATTCTCGGAGCACTCGCATATCGAAGTTGGTTGGTTATCTCCGGAGCTTAGAGGAAAACAATAATGAGGTATAGAGAAATGCTGTTGGATTATTTGTTTGGTCGTTCGTAGGTCCATTAGTTGCATGTGCCACCCATGTAGTACTTTTGCTGAATTTTAGTTTCTCAAGGGCAGATGGAATGAGATACTATCATACAAATAACTAGTTATTCTGGGTTTCTCTGAGCACCACATTGACCAAATTATAAACTGCACTGCTTTCTTTTTTGTGGTTTTGTTTCCTCTGATGAAATACTTCTTCGTCTGCAGTTAGATGTTCATCTCTTGCTTATTCCTAAGGATACAAGTCGTACACCAAAGTTGCAGCAGCCACACCTTTGCTGTCGGTCGAGTTTGTCAGTGAAGCACCTTTGTGAAGTAAGATTATTCTCCTGATATTACTAACCTTAAACTTCTAAAGATGTAAACTTCATTTGTCAGACTTCCTTTGACTATGTAGCATGCAAATTTTCTTCTTATGCTTGTTTGGATGAGAATTATAACGCCTTGTCTGTGAAACTTGCTTGTCATGCCTCTTTACCTTGTCTTGTGCTGGAATATTTGTGTGCATACAATTGATAGAAAATATATACCCGATTCATTTGAAACTCTGACTAGCCTTAAATTTTCTAGGAGCTTTGGTTCATTGTCAAAATGTTAATCTACCGCTCTATATATTTGGTATTTTTCTATTTTACAAAATATTTCCAGTGCCTGTGTAATTTTTATTTTCTTTACAGTATGTTTCTCACAAGACGTCTTTGAGGGCTGAAGAAGTTGAATTATTGGAAGCGCCTCAGAGTTTCAATCACATTTCAGATGATGAGGAATTGGATTTGGATTCTGTGATAGATCCGGTCAAAAATGACCTGAAAATTCTGCAAGAAGAAGAAACTTTGGCAGAGGTTAGAGCCAAAAGCATTTCCTGCAGGGACTATTTGGTGAGTAGACATAAGACGGGTTCTTGTCCAAAATTTATAGTACATATTGTGCAAAGAACAAAATGCATTAGCTGGTTGACTTTTTCTCTTATTTAACGAGAAGGAACACTCCGACATACGTCGTTGCATTACATTTGATTGTTTTAAACTGCAGGAAGTATAGAATATGAGTTGGTTTGTTACTCTTTTCAGATTATAGCATACAGGCGGAAGGAGATTAGTTAGAGAATTGTGAACTTGCCAAAAGAATTCGGACGAGAAAATTGTTATATTGGCCGTTGATATCAGAGTTGCTGTAAATGTGGTTGAAGATATATATAGATACCGGGATGCATTGATCCCCAGTTGGGACATTGTTTCTTGTATTCTTTGTGTTGTAAAACACTTGTTTGTATCAATAGTTTAATTTTATGTTAAAGGAATCTGGACGAGTCCTATTTACGTTCACAAGTTCTGTAATCTAAGCTAACGCAGGTTCATGAAACGCCTGGCCTCTCGTTTTTTCTCGGGTTTTTTAACTGCTCCAAATGTGAAACGGAAACACAGGGATGATGATGGTGAAGCAGAATGAACTTGTTCCGTCCTCCAGGACTCCTAACAGCTGAGTCACATGATAAACACCCGATCGGCGATTGAGCTTTTAACAGCAATAAACACAATCTAAAATGAAGCTTCTGGAGCAACAAAGTTCAATTGAAAATGAAGCAATCAAAGGAAGAAAGCCTTCGTGGTTTTTGAGTTTTCGGATAATTTGATTTCGTCAATCTGCGGTGTACGGTAATAGTGAAAGAATTACGCAATAGACATTGATATAAGAATTGGTTTTACATGGTAACTGAAACTTTACAGCAAAAGAATTGCGTTCGGTCGCCTTTAACAGAATGGTACACTAATGCTGCTAGTAAAAATTGGATCATATAAACTCGAACGGCCCTTGTACAGGGTTCAAGAGTTCTTGAACAACAGCCACACACGGTAATGTAGGGAAAGGTTTCATTCATCGCATCTGTGCCGCAGCGCTGGAAACTGCAGAGTTGATCATCATTTTTCGTCTTTCTTTTCGCTGGAGCACACGTAGATGTGGTGATTTCGGTTTTGTTGCTTCCTTGGGGCACCTATTATGTCATAAAACGCACCAATCAATAAACTAGTCATTGAAATAATGCAGCAATAACAGTTAAGATTGCATTTTTTCTTACTTTTGGGGACAGAATGGATGCTCAAAGTTGGGCACCGGCCTTGCATGGGGTACCAATGTCCTTCTGAGTTGTTTCAGTGCCTTTTCTTCCTCGACCTGCAAACAGTAAGTAGACAATTTTCGAGTACATGTCAGTTTAAATGATGCAAGTTTACTAACAGCTAAGCAGCAAAAAGTACGTATGAAAAACACACATACCATTCTCGCTGCCTCACTCTCTTCTCTGTATCTCTTGTACATCATCTCTTTCTCCCTAACCTTTTGATCAAATTCGGCTCTATCAACAGCTCGATGATCAACTTGGAGATTGAACTCCTGAACTTGGGTGAGAGGCTTGCGCTCTTTTTTGGGAACAGGAATTGGGTCCCTGCATACAAAGGGATATCAGTCATTCGTCTCTTTAAGACTTAGACAATAAAATCCTGAACAATGTAAGTTTGCTTACTCTTTCAAGATTGGTTGTGCCTTGAACACTCTTATCTGGGCTTCTTCTTTCTCCTTCCGCTGTTTTTCTTCCATTTCCCTTTGCAATTCCTCCTCATGCCTCACTAAACTCTCTAGTTGGAAAGGTTCTGGTTTTGTGCATTGCTTGGGCTCTGGCTTGGGTGGGATCTGCATTAGAACAACAGGAATCATCATTTAACCATCATTGTTCCAATTTCGTGTAATTAAACTCGGAAAAACAAATTAATAAGTATCTGTACCACAGGGTAATCTGTAGTATAAGGATATGGATTAGCTTTTGGAACCCTTGCTCTTTCTTCTTCCAATTGCTTATGCCAAACTTCAGTAATGAATTTCCTTTCTTTCTCGGCCCCTCTTTCCTGATGACATAAACAAAAAACCAATACGCAGGTTATGAGCAGGCTGTATGCATCACTGAATGACCCTAACTTCTATAATGCTGGAGGAAACAAAAGGAATTATCATACCTCTGTGTGGAGATGGAATGGGTTTGGCATTGTGTTTCTCGGAAGTGGATCATGGTGAAGTTCTGAATTTAGCGACAGCTGGAAGACAAAACAAATGATGCATAAGAGATGCTGTGCAGATACTACTTTTCTTTTGTATGCTACGTCTGCGGTAGGATCGGTAAGAATCGTTTCACTTACTTTATCAAGTAGATCAACAACAGACGAAGATTGCGGTGGTATCCTTTCATTTGTTGCAAAATGGAATTCTTGAGGTTTGGTCACATGTTTCTTTGCATTACAGAACACCCCCATATCTCCTTTACTTTCAAATATCTGTGAACAATGTCAAAAGGAAAGAACATTTTGATAAATCAATTCAATTCATAATGTTTCCAAGATGAATACCATCAAACAGAATTGAAGGGCTGGACTGGACATACCTTCTTATTCAAAGGCTTGGCCTTGAATTTTGGGATTCTTTCGAGTTCTTCCTGTTCAATTTCCAACGAACTTTTCACCCTGGGTGGACGAGCCCTCAATGATGTGTGTAGCATAGGGGTTTTAGGTTCAGTAAGATTATGAGGCTTCCATGGATTATTCTGTATTTCAACACAGAAAGCGAACATTGTCAATGGGATACCTCAACTGGCTTATCGAGAACAAAAAATGGAAATAGCAAATCTGATTCTGTCTAATACCTGACGGGACATTTCGGTTGAAGCTATCGAGGATGTTTCTGCATTCTGATTGGCCCTTACCATTGTCTCCAAATGGAATTCCTGCAAGAATAAGAAATAAGAGACTTATTATCACCACTGCAACATTGTATATCCTTTTTTCTAACATCCAATCCACAGCAACTTACGTGAAATTCCGGTGGCTGGGGCGTACTTCTTGGCATTGCAGGCAATGATGGGGATTCTAGAATCTGTAATGAGCAATAATAATCCAATAAACCCAACAGATATATACGGCAAATGAAACAGAAGTAAGAGTATAAAATTACAAGTTACCTTTTTGTTTAATGGTCGAGCCTTAAACTTCGGAATTTTAGCCATCATCTCTTCTTCAAGCTCAGCAGTACTCTTTACTCTCACTGAGCGAACACGCTGGGATGTTTCAAATTCAGGCTCCTTAGGCCTAGTCAAGGTGAGTTTGGGTTTCATCTGAAAAATATAAACAACATCGATCTTTCATCATTAACATGAAAAATATGAGGAGACATGAAAAAGAACTCAACGAGGCAGATGGAGAAAGATGCTTTACAAGCGGCAATGACAAGTCTCTGGTACTTGATTGGAACCTTTTCATCATTTCGGCCATTGAAACAAATGGTGATGCAGGTTCCCTAACATAAACTTTTCGGTCCTCTTTTTTCACAGCAGCTGAAGAACTTGTATGACCCAATTTTGACTTGTGGGGCAACGTGTGGGGTTTGGGATTAAGAATCTGTTTTTTTAGAGGACATAAGGGAAAAGAATTAGGGTAAACGCTGTCACAATCAAGTTGATAAAGCAGTACAGGAGTAAAGGTTACCTGTCTAGATCTTCCTTCGTCCAATTTCTGCCGCTTTATCGCCTGATTTTCCTGAACTAAAAGTGGAGTTCCAGATGCATTCTTCACATGTGTTTCTCTAGAATTTCAAGTTAAGTAGCTAATCAGTCATGACTGTTAGAATAAATCAACACATCAATCAGGAAAAACGTACACACACCAACCTTTTCACACTATTTGGTTTAATGTTTTTGGTTTGGGATGATTGTAAGTGACTTTTTTGCTTCAGTGCTGATGGGTTTCTGACCATGCTTGCTATCTTTTTAGCAGTCTGGTGCTTCTTGGAATAACTCATGGGTGGTTTTGGAGTGCAAGCTTCAATTTCAACTTGAATGATAGGTTTACTATTCTCCTTACCACTGGTCAGAGCAGTTTTCTTATTTGAAGATACTGTACCCAAAACACTGCAAAACAGTAAGTAATGAATGAGAAACCGTCGAGCTCAACGTTATATTCTAATCCACTAGTACGAGTCAAGAGACTCGAGACAAAAGCTTAAGAGGACCCCTAACCTTCCATTTCCGCCGGTACATTTGTCTTCCTTTTTTTCAACTTGGCTAATACTCTTATCAGCTGAGACCTAAAGGAGTTAAGAGTATGATTAGATGCCAAACACAATCAAGAAAAATGGTTTTTCAGAAGAGTAAAGTTGAAATTAATACTACGAATTGGCTTACGTTGCTTTCTTCTTTCGCTTCCCTGGGGATTGTTTCGACCACTTCAGCAGGCACGATCTTTGATTCAGGCTTAGTTTCAATAGACTTATCAGCCACTAAATCAGGCTTAGTTTCGATAGACTTATCATCAGCTTTTAAGTCAGATGATGATTCCAAGTTCTGCAAAACATAAACAACCATGAAGTTAGAGAGTTACAAAACAAGTCCAAGTTTTATAGTAAAGAACAAAAGGACGTAAAACACTACCACATTCTGCATTTGCTCTGCTTCACCAAAGTCACACATGCTCTCGATCGTAAAGGATCTACCAGCCTTGATCTTAGGCATAAAAGCTGCACGAAAATATTCAAGTCCCATTACAAACAGAACATTGCCACGGTTCTTATTGATTAAAGACAAAAATCATCCAAAAGCACAAATTGAATATCCATTGCTCCGTCAATCGAAAATTCCAGTCAAGTTCATACCATAAAACCTAGTTCAAATACTGCAACAAATTTTGGAAAGAAAAGAACGACAATCCGGAAAGTTTAAATCTAATTCCTTTTAACAAGTAACAACTTCCTTAAATGCCTAAGATTGTTGCCTAATTGAGAACTTTCTTGGTCTCTCTCAGAATCCTCTCTCTCTACTCTTAACAGAAAAAATAAAAAGATATCAGCCCTTAATCTTCTGCGGGCAAACACAACCTAGCAAAATTTTCTGATAATCAAACTCCAAAAAGCAGAGCAAGCATCCAGATTGCGGTATCGCTTCCTAATCTATTTCAATTGCAAGAAACGTTTGGAATTGTGACAAAATTAGCCACCAAACCAAAATCAAAACCCTCAAATTCCAATAATTTTACAGAAATTTTACACAATTGAGAGAAGAAAAGCGAAAAGCCCTAAAATCCAAATCAACAGATCTGAGAGAAACCCTAACAAAGAAGACGCAATAAACACACAGATGTAAGGCTATAAAGCACAACTGGAATATAAGAATAGTAAGATAGAAAGAAGCATTAGGGAAGCAGACGTACGTGAAGGAGCATAAGCGAGAGCGCAGTCAAACCAGAGCTCGGCCTTGCGCCTGTCATCTTCGCTCTCGTCCTTTATGAAGTCAAAGAAGCGCGGAGCCGAGAACTCGTACGTATCGTCGACGATCATTCCCGTGGCCGTCGGAGCCGGCGCGTTGGGTTCTTGGTCGGCCATTTCCTCGTTTTCGAAAACTTGTTGTTTGGGGTTGGGGATTCCAGAGGAGGAATTCGAAAGATCTGGAAGATTAATGAAGAAATGAATAGAGAATAATGAATAAATGAAAGAGAGAGCGTCTGAGTGGGTGCGAGTCTGGGGGATTGGAGTATAACGTTAGGGGAAGGATCTTTCTAACGGTCTGATTTTTTTGAATTTGGTAGCCAACGGCCAACTAGGTGACTGCTCGGCACTCGGCTGTGCGCTGTTTCTAACGGCTATATTTACTTGCCTTTTTTAAGCGGCTGAACGATGTCGTTTGGCGGAATGATGTCGTTTGGGTTTGGGTAATACGCAAAAAAAAGGATCAAAAATAAAACACACAGGACAGAGGGATGTGGGGGAGGGAGGAGGCCTGGGACGGGAGATTTGGGATGTTGGGGGAGGGTTGGGGGAGATTTTTATTTCATTTATTTTTCGAAAGCTTTGTAAATATATTTAATTTTAATTTTAATTATTTTACTATAATTTGAACATTAATTGTCAGTGTTTAATAAAATAAAAAACTACCGTTTATGTCTTATTTTTTTCTAATTGTATATTTAATTAGGGATGGTTTCGGTTTTGTAAGGGAAACAAAATTTTGATTAACTAAAAGCTTAAAACGAAATTGAATGGAGATTTTGTAAACTGAAAAATTGGATTGTGATTTGTTTGTTAGGCCAAGTTTTTTGAGCTCTCCAAATTTTAGCCCATATTTAAGTGACTTTGAGTGCCAAAGTTTGATGTTATTTTTATGGGTTAAACTTTGAGTGCCAAATTTTATATAACTTCAAAATTTATATGGCATAAAAAAATAAGTTCGAATTGAAACTTAAAATAGAAAGCAACTAGAGGAGATGGGCTGAGAGTAAGACTTAGACGAGTCATTGATGAGTGTTGATAATGGTTTGAGAGACTAAGATTGAGTCGAGAGGGATGAGAGCAAGAATGAGTCCATAGGGAAAAGAGAGAATGAGTCATAGAGGGAAGAAAGAATAACTGAATGAGTTTGTCTTTATGAATCAATGGTTGAGATTATCTCAACCAAGTATACTAATATGTTATATAATAATAATAATAATACTTTTTGATAAAACCGAACCAAAAAGTTTGGTAATTTTCGATTTCAGCAACTTTTGTGAAAAAAAAATGTCAACTCTATATTTAAGCGGTGTAGTCAAATTAAGATTTGATAAGATTCTAATAGATTTTAAAATAGGGGTGTAGTCCATTAGGGTTTTAAAGGAGCTGAGACCCACAAACTTCCTCCTGGACCTCCATGTAATGTAAATTATCTCAGCAAAAGTACTATTTTTACTATATATTTGCCGCATTTATTTAATAAACATAGAACTTATATGTGTTAGTGACCAAAACTCTATTAAAAAAAAGTATAAAAATAATACAAATATATAATAAGGGTGCGTTTGTTACATTGTACTATCTCGGATTGAACTAATTTTGGGGACTAAATTGGACTAATTTAGTAAAATATTTGGTGCAGCATCGGACTAAGAAGCTGTATTAACCTGAAAAAGAAACCCAGCTTCATGCGTCATACCTGACCTGAGAAAACCATTTCGAATAAGCCATTAACAAAATTAATTCCAAGTTGCTAAATTTGCTTCTCAAAATTTCAGAATCTGAAGAAACAAACAAGATCTTCAATGATGAGCAGTTCATCCAACTTGAAACACTTATTAAAGCAGATAATATTTTAAGGTAGGGATCCAAATTAATTTGACATTGCATCAACTGATGATGTTCACGGAACTGTTTAATTGAGTACAAATTGTTTTTTCATGAGATGGATCTTTGCTGCCTCTGCAATGGTAACGAATGGCTCGATAGAGACAAGCGAGGAGGCGTTGGAAGCATCAGACGTCTCTTCCTTGACATCATATTCAACTGTGGTTTTGATGATGCAGCAGCAGGAAGGTTCCGAATCACCTGCAGCTCCTAATTTCTCTATGATTTCAAACCGAACCCGGTATAAGCTCAGTCCAAAATCCAGAAATCCACCTTCAATCACCTCCACTTCTTTCACTCGCGTCTCATTGTCTATCTTTGTGAACTTTTCCTTGTGTTCAGCACCATCAATTAACATTAATTATATATATTTAACCAAATCATTTAGCATTATAAATTAAATTGGACACAAGAACAATCAAAAGATCGAACAAGATCAATAAGGGGGAAAGCTCCGTTTAATAAATTAATTATACTATATACATAGTTAACAAGGAAAATTATTAATTAGCCTAAAATAAAAATATGAGGCGCATGCAGGCGAGAGGCCTAAGTAAACCATTTCTCAATCCAAAATCCTGCTGTTTACAGTTAATATTTGAGAATTCGTAATTAAAGACAGGTAAATGAGATTCTTTATAAGGTAGCTAGCAAATTAATCACCAGCAAGAAGATTAGCGCACATGGAGCATGCGTTTAATTAATTTAATTAAGTATATACCTGATGCAAATTTGACATGGACAATAGTCCCAACCCCTCCATCACCATGTATGGCTTCAGCTTTTTCAATCATATCTGGAAGTTGTTGTTCCACGAATCTTGCCAGTGCAAGCGTGCTGAAGAGCTCCCATGCTTCACTTGCAGGCACCTCCACTTCTAACTCATGCCAAACTTTCCCAATCGCCATCCCTAAACCCTATTTGGCAAAGCTAGCTCAGCCGCTTGCTTCCTCAACTGATGATGATGCGTTTGCCTTCAACTAGGGTTATTTATGCGTAATATAACTTGGTAAAGGACAAGGTAGCTAGAGCCAGAATCATTTCTCACCACAAGATGCCCTTTCTATTATCTAACCTGTCTCTGAAACTCTAAATTGGTTAAGGACAAGGTAGCTAGAGCCAGAATCGTTTCCCACCAGAAGATGCCCTTTCTATTGTCTAACCTGTCCCTGCACATGAAACTCTCAATCAAATATATAATTAAGATACCTACTTAGCTATTAATTAATTAATTGAGTAATATGTATATTCTAGCCGGCAGGTATGTAAATATATATATTTGATTAAAATATGCCCAATTTAGAAGAATGACTTACATAAAATAGAGATGCTAAAATAGTGGTATTATAAATTAATCGCAACATCATGTATGAATTGTGTTCTTGGTCCAAGAAGTCCTTCATCTAACTAAGACGTATGACTGGCATTCATTCAAGGAATTGGACCCGCTCCCAATTTTAGTGTCCGAAGTTTAGGGATCAATTTATCTGGACCGCACAAATTGAATTCAACGGTCTCCATTAACTCATTTTTCTGGCCCACTACACAAAAGCAACGACTCTGATTTCTTTTACACACCAATCAACGGCTCAAATGATTTGATCTCTATGCTCTAGACACTAAGGTCCGGAGCGGATCCAATTCCTTAATTCAATCCGCGTTCTATCTTCATGAATAGAAAATAGCTACTATATCTACAATGTATTTTACATGTGTAATTATATATATATAGGGAAATGTTATTAGCACTCCAAAAATCTCATTCTATACTCCTCACAAGTGTATTTTTCTTTCCTAATATAGAAAATTTGAAGTATAGAATAAGATTTTTGGAATACTAATAACAATTCCCTGTATTATATATATATGCAGGCCCTTTATGCAAGGGGATTCCAATTTTTTGAAAAAAAAATGGGGATTAGATATGGGGCCCACTCCACATCGAATTTCAACGATTTGAACCGTCTATTTTGTTAGTCTCGATTCATAGATCATCCTTGCAAAAGTCAATTCAATCCGAAACCATTTGCCTATTTAATTATCAAAATCAAATTTCATTGTTTCTTATATAACAAAGTATTCGTTCATTTCTTTGAACTCAATTAGATGTCTTAAATATTTTTGATTTGGCTAATATTTTGCAAGGATGATCTATGAGTTACAATTTGAAAAATAGACGCTCGGTTCGTTAAAGTTCAATATGGTGTAGACCCCCGCAACTAATCCCTATTTTTATAAAAATAAAAAAAAAATGAAAATCCCTTCCCTTAAAGACTTCCTATGTGTATGTATGTATGTATGTATGTATGTATATAATCAAGGACTAAAGTGTGATAGAGTGCTGCTGTATAATTCAGGATTTCTACAGCCAGAGTGCCAGCTGCGGACGATGTTTTATATATTCAGCTGTGTATTAATATATTATACATGCATATCATATGCTCTAAATTAAAAAGACTATATAAATCATTATACATACGTTTAAAATTAACGATGAAAGAGATGACTCCCTCTTTATATATATTTATATTATATATAAACACATGTATGTATTCAGATTCCAGATTGACTCGGCCGGCCCCAAGAGAATAACGACGTTATAACTTATACATCGCTAGCCGGCATATGTTTCATTTAACTAGCCAATAGAAATTTTCACTACAAAAACAAAAACAGCCAATAATAGAAGAAGCAGCAGCAGCAGCTATAACCAGTAGGAAGTTATGAACATAGACGTTCAGCTGTCCATATCGAATGACCTCTTCTCGAGTACTTATTCCAACAATATTCTACGATTATATTTGTGTATTGAAAATTAATGCCTCCGAGGAGAATGATTACGAATAATGTATCATTACTGTATAAATTTTATAATTACGAAGTTCAGTTTTTAAATCTTCATAATTTGAAAATCATCAACGTCTCCAGCAACTTCATTCCAACATTTTCAATCAGTGATTGAATCTGGGAGAGCTCAAAGGCCAGGACAAATAGTTCAATGCTTTAATCTTGAGAGGAAAACCCGATTTATTTTCTCATACAAATTGACAGCAGCTGTGAAATCCTGTCCCGAATTTAACATTCAATTTTTCATATTTTGTATTTTCAGGAAAATTATTCTTATTTTTCGTTAATTTTAGATTTTTGTTTAGTTTGTTACAAAATTTGATATTTAAACATTCATTAAAAATCCGTAGACCTTTTTTAACCAATCTTAGTATTTTTGGATAGAGTTCGATCCCACAAACGAGTAGGTAAAAACTGTTTGTGAAATGAATTTGTAACGATAGAAAAATAAGCAAGTAAAGACAAAGGCAGATGGTCATTTGGACGTCTATAAATAGTAGGCCCCAGTTTGTTGGGAAGGGGGACTTTCCATTTTAGGAATAGTCGACTCACGCATCTGACCCGATGGTCCATTTCGTGCAAACTGACCCGATTTCTGGGCAGTTTTTCCCATAGTTTTTTTAAGGGTAAATTACATTTTACCCACTCAGGTTTCGATGTAATTACAATCTCATACAACATCTTTAAAACATTTTAATTTCATACATTTAGTATTATTTTGTTTTCAATTTCATGCAACCGTTAAAAAATTTATTAACTTAACCATTAAGTGGTGAAGTGGCAAATATGGGATCCCCATTTGTGATGACTGCCACATTTGTGCCATGTGACTGAATACTTAATAAAAAATTTAAAATATTAAAATAATGGGTAAATTACATTTTAGCCCCTCAGGATTGGGATCGATTTCAATTCCTTACAACATCTTTAAAACATTTCAATTTCATACATTTATTTATCATTTTATTTCAATTTCATACATCAGTTTGAAAATCTGTTAAGTAAACCGTTAAGTAATGACGTGGCAAATATGAGATCCGCATTTATGCCGTCATGGTAGCCACATTTGTGCCATGTGGCAAAAATAATAATTTTTTTATGCATTTAAAATATAATAATATTTACCCTATTAAAAATATAAAAATATAAAAAACCGAAAAACCCCCCGACCCGCTTCTCCATCTCTTCCCTCTTCACCTCCCATCCCTTCTCTCTCCCCAGACCCACTTCTCCCTCTTTACCTCCCATCCCTTCCAATCAGTGCTTTTGTTTGTCACCATGGCTTCCAATCAGCTGCAAGCCGTTCAATATACAAAAAACGACGTCTGGGTGTTTGACAATACGCGTTTTGGACGAGTTTATATCGTAATTGCTAGAGGAAAAGAAGCTTAAGGATGACGCGACGACGATGGAGGCCAAAATCGGGGTTTGTACGACGACTCAACTGTAGAAAGACTATACATAGCTCATTGGGGCATGGCAGTGGAAGCCGAGGCTTAAGCCCATTAGAGAGGCTTGGGAGAATAGTAGAAAGCATTCTTCTTTTGGGATAAGGATATCTTCCAAGAAGAAATCTCAACCAAATTCATTGAAGGCTTCCCAGAAGCAAAAGAGTAGTTCTACTAATGGTTCTTCCAAAGCCAAGATCAAGATCAAATCGTTGAGAAAATGATGATTAGTGCCTTTTTAATGATTAGTTAGGATTTAGATGTTAATTACACCTTACCCCACCCCCTCCCCTCCCAAAACCCCAAATAGTCGTAGCTACACACATGGCGGTCGGAGGACTGGTGCTTGGAGCAGAAGAGCTCACTGCACCGGCACTGGAATTCGGTCAACCCGATCTTTCTCTAGCATCCAGAGCATTGATTGACCACACGCCTATTCGGTAATTCACCCAATCTCGCGATCTCTGATGCCGTTATCTTCTGGAAGGTCTCGGCTTGGGCCTTGAAGCTGAAGATGGGTCAAGGGGTGAAGAGGGAGGAGTGGGGTCTGGGGAGAGATAAGGGATGGGAGGTGAAGAGGGAGGAGATGGAGAAGTGGGTCGGGGAGGGGGGTTTCTGGGTTCGTTTGGTTTTTTTTTTTTTTTTTATTATATTTTTTTATAGGTTAAATATTATTATATTTTAAATGTATATAAAATTATTTTTTTGCCACATGGCACAAATGTGACAGCCACATCAATACAAATATAGATCTCATATTTACCACGTCATCACTTAACGATTTACTTAACAGATTTCTAACGAATGTATGAAATTGAAATAAAATGATAAGTAAATGTATGAAATTGAAATGTTTTAAAGATGTTGTAAGGAATTAAAATCGACCCCAGGAATTTACCGAATAAAATAATTAACTACAGGAAAGTTTTAAAAAAAAAAAAAAAAAAAAAAACAGAAATCCCATTCGTCTTCCCACCCATCACCCACCCTTCTCCCATCCACCATTACCCACCCCCAAAATCCCCACCCAAGCCCACCCTCTACTCCCATCCCCCATCACCCCTCCCAAAAATCCCCCATCACCCACCCCAAAAACTCCCACCCTAGCCCACCCCCTCCATCCAAGCTCCTGCATTTTCTGTGGGAGCGAAAACCGCCAGTGAGTGTCTTTATGAATCTATCGGTGATAGGAAGAGGAAGAAGAAGAGAGAGGAGTATATGACATTGGAGATATGGTTTGAGGCTTTGTGCAGAAGCTCATCTCCTAGAGAGATAGAAGAAGAAGAGCAAAGGAAGAAGCTATCATAAATGCTGAGTGAGGAGAGGACCGAGAAGGGGATTTTTGGGAGGGGTGATGGGGGTTAGGAGAAGGGGGTGGGCTCGGGTGGGATTTTTAGGGGTGGGTGATGATGGATGGGAGAGAGGTGGGGTGAAGGGTGGGGAAGACGATTTCTGTTTTTTTATTTTTTTTTAATACTTTTCTTTAGTTCATTATTTTAATATTTTAAATTTTTTATTAAGTGTTTAGCCACATGTCACAAATGTGATAGCCACGTCATCACAAATGAGGATCTCATATTTGCCACATCATCACTTAACGGTTAACTTAACAGATTTTTTAACGATTGTATGAAATTGAAAACAAAATAATACTAAACGTATGAGATTGAAATATTATAAAGATGTTCTAAGAGGTTGTAATTGCATTGAAACTGAGGGGGTAAAATGTAATTTACCCTTTTTTCAGTCATTCCAACAACTTCAGGCAATGCCACCACCTGGAAACAACTCTTCACCTCACCATGAATAAA